TGGTGAATGAATAAGTGTAATGTAATGAGAGTGAATGCAAGCATGATTCTCAGAATGAATTCGGGTGCGTGTGGTCGCACGTTGGCATGCAGTGAAAGAGGAGAAGTTTGAATGTTAATTTCAGTCTTGCATCATGTAGATTTTCCAAGTAATTTCAACTATGAGAACGAAAGAAGGAGGAAAAGTGACTTCGGACCAAACTAGTTGTTGGCACGTGAGGTCGCACGTTGGCATGCAGTGGAAAGGGAAAAGCTTGAATGTAAATTTTAGTCTTGCGTCAGATTTCCTAAGCCGTAATTGTTATTTTAACTCTGAGAGAATGAAACGAGGATAAGTGATTTTGGGCCACTTATTTGCTAGATGTTTGCACGTGAGGTCGCACGTTGGCATGCAGCAGAAGCGAGAAGATTCGGATGTTGATTTCAGTCTTGCATCATGTGGATTTCCTAAATTGTAATTTTAACTATGAGAACGAGAAGCGGAAAAGTGATTTCGGACCACTTATTTGCTAGATTTTTGGACGTGAGGTCGCACATTGGCATACAGCGGAAGAGGAAAAGGTAAAACCACTCGCTGGTAAAACTATCGATGTTTCATTGGTACTGCACAAAAGCATAGACAGTATATGGGATAAAAAACTCAAGAAGTATATGTTGACACATTTTCTGGAAACCATTTAAGAAATCCGAGAAGTATACGTTGAAACATATTTCGAGAACCAGTTCCCCTAAAACAACTCTTTTATACAGGTGCATGATTTGATGGAAGATATAGCCGAACAGCAAGAAGTTGCCAATGAAATAGCAGAAGCAATCAGTAATCCGGTTGGTTTTGGACAAGACGTCGATGAAGATGAGTTACTCAAAGAGTTGGAGGAACTTGAACAGGTCTCGTTTTTTCAAATTTTTTTATTTTTACTCATTCAAAATTTTATTTTTGCGCAGCTAACTTGGAATATTTATCAGAATTGTAAAGGAAACCGTAAAAAGGCAGAGCATGGAACGATAGTGATATCACGAACGGAACCCCCTTTTTTTGCCGTAAAGTATCAATCGAAAGGGACTCAAACCACTCGTCTTTACATTCGAACGCGACGTGCTAAATCAGTATCCTGCCTTCCTTCTGTGTAGCCGGAGAGAACTTCTATTGTTTGACTATGTTTGAGGGAGCATGCAGTTTTCTTCCTCTCGTTCTCTCATCCTCCTCTGTCTTTCCAACGCCCTAGCC